TTTGAAGAGCTTTGCTGGCAGTGCAGGACAGGGAAGCAGAGGGACGGCCCCAGAGTGGCCTGGCCCCAGCCCACTGCCCGTGCTGCAGGGCAGGGTCCCTGTCCCAGCTCCCTCAGCCCCTCGTGTGCCCCGGCACAGGGACGCTGCCAGCGCCATGGCCCGGCCCGGCAGCACCCGAACCACGCGGAGCAGCCGCTGCAGTGCCCGAGCTCAGGTGCCTCAGCAAACTCACACTTCTCTCTTCCTCCTCCGGGGGTCTCTCCCAGATCCATTCCATGTCACTGGACCCCCCAACCCCATCACCGTGGCCAAGGGCGAGAACGTGGTGCTGCCCTGCGGCTTCTCCCCAGGGCAGGATGCACTGGACACGGAGGTGATCTGGTTTCGGGAGCAGTTCTCGCCCTTTGTGCATCGCTACAAGTGGGGCCAGGACCAGTACGGGGAGCAGATGCTTCAGTACCAAGGGTGCACTGAGCTGCGGAAGGACGGCCTTTGCAAGGGCAGTGCGGACTTGAAGCTTTTCCATGTCCGACCATCTGACACAGGGACTTACACCTGCTTTGTTCGCCGTGGCTCACATTACGACGAGGCTCAAGTGAAGCTCAAGGTGACAGGTCTGTAGTTTGTGTCCCTGGTACCTCTGATTTACTTGCTCCTGGCCAGTGCTCCTGTTCCCTGTCTTTGTGCCAGGAAACAGTTTCAGGGGGTTGCTTTGGAAATAGGGTTTTATGAAGTCCCTTGGTGTAAAATATCAAGAATGTCTCAGAGAGGTAAAATTGTCATAAGGAGCACATGAAATACTTCCTCCTTCAGAATTTTTTTCATATTGTTTCCTTCAGAAAAGCAGGTATAAGAAAAAATCTGGCATTGGGTAATAAGGGAAGAATATCCAAGTGCTTTTACGTTTTAATATCCGGACCAGTGGATTATTTGCTGTAGTAGTGGCCTCCAGGGCAAATCTCTCAGTTATATGAAAGAGACTGCAAGAAATGTCCTGACTCCAGGTGACATCTGTCTGAAAAAACATCTGGGGTTTGTCTGTCAGTTTATCCACGTCAGGGAGGGAAACAGCCCAACCAGGTTATCCCCCTGACATCCAGGACCCTGCAGGCTCAGCCGGGGTCTC